GAAGAGGGAGAGCCCTCACAAGGGGGCTCCCAGAAAAGCCCTTGCATAGGACTCAGCACTCCAGTTAAATCTTGAAGGAAGCTGGAATTAGGAGAAGTGAAGAGGAAACCCTTTGCCCCAAATGTCAGGGTCTCTGAGGGTGGTGGGATGGTGATCCTACTGTCACAGGCTCCAAGACCAAAACTTAGTGAGAAGGCATCCTCTCCCCATCACCCCTGGCCAGCATTTATTAAGTGCTTGTTGTATGCCAGGCATTGAGGTCAGTGCCCGATACACAGAGAAAGAGCAAGAACATCCCCTGCCTCAGGAAGTTTCTGTTCTGGCAGCAGTGACACTTCCAAAGCTCTGCACTAAGACATTCAGAGAGGATGGGCGCTAACTGGAGGGGATGGCCCCACTGGCTGGCAGGCCTTCCGGAGGAGGCAGTGCAGGAGCTGAGCCTTAAAGGAAGCCCTGGAGGTTTAGAGAGACAACCTCCCAGGCACAGATGCAGGAGGTGGAGCTGCAAGGGGGTCTAGATCATAACGTCTGTGCCGGGAATTAGAATAAGACAGCTGGACAGGGAAGAAGGGGCCAGGTTGTAAAGAACTTTAAATTAGAAACAGAGCATTTGATCTTTGATTCTGGCAGTAATAGGGAGCCATTGCAGTTTTCAGACCTACTTTTAAGGCAAACCACTTTGGCAGCTGAGTGGAAGGACAGATTGCAGTGGAGCCAGACTTGAAGGAGGGAGGCTCGTTGGAAGGCCGTCCTGGAAGTGATGTGTAGGCCAGTAGCTTTGTAAATGGGAAGTAAGATATTCCTATGAGAGATGATGTAGAGAAAGAAATGGAAATATTTGGATCTAATGGGTGAGAGTGAGCAGTTGAATATGATTGAGAAGTTTGGAGCTTGGCTGATCAAGACCATGGTGGTGCTCTCCAGAATAATCAACAAATTCAGAAGAGGGAAGGTTTGAGGGTAAAAACATGACTCTTGTTTGGGGCATATTGACTTTGAGATGCCTTTGAAACATCCATTTTGAAAAGCCCAGACCTACTTATTCAGCCCTAACCTCTGCTTATCTCCAGCTACCTAGCAGACATCTCCAAGTGGATGTCCAGTAGACAATCCCGCATGTCCAAAATGGAGTTCACTCTCTTTCTCCCCCCAAGTCTCTCCCTCCCGGATTTCCGTACTACAGCTGAAGGTTCCACCATCCTCCGGTCCCCTAGGCTCTGAACCCAGGTGTCATCCTGTCCTTCTCTACATATTACTTTCTCTTCCCCTCTCCCCATATCCAACATCTTGCCAAGGCCTGTCGATGTTTATAACTGCAAGAAAATACACACCCTTCTCTTGTCTGGCCCAGGCCCTTTCACCTCATACCTAGACTATTGAAATGGCTGTTCTGCTTGGCCTACCTACCATGAACAAGTCTCTCCCCATTCTAAGCAGTCCTCTGCACAGTTGTCAAAGTGATCTTCCTAAAGTGCACATCTGACCATGTCACTACCGCCCACACTCAATAAACTCCACTGACTCCCTATTACCTCTGGGATTGAATAGAAAGTCCTGTTTGGTTTCCAAAGCCCTCCATAACTGGGCCCCTCCCCTCTCTCTCTGGTCTTCTCATATCTTACACCCCACCCCACTCTTCTATCCAGTAACACCAGCCTCTGGGCTGCTCCTCCCACAAGATGCTCCATCTCCTATCTCTGAGCATTTTCTGTAGCTGTTTCCCATGCCTGGAATTCCCTCCTTCCTCATCTCCACCTAGTGACATCCCTGGATTCCTTCGAATTCCAGCAAAAATCCTGCCTTCTAAAGGAAGCCTTTCCTGATCCTGCTTAATTCTCCTGGCTTCTCTCTGGTGATTATTTCCAGTTTCTCCCATCTCTAACTTGTTTGAGTTTTCATTGTGTGTTTTCCTATTGTCTCCCCCATTAGCCTGGGAGCTCCTTGAGAGCAGGCCCAGCACTTAATCAGTGCCTGGCACATAGTAGGTGCTTAATAAATGCTTCCTGACTGACTGGTGTAGGAATGGAGCTCAGCAGGGTAACAGGCTGGATAAATCAGCCTAGGAGTCACTGGTATGGAGATGGCTATGGAGCCCTCACCAAGTGAGCCAGCACAGTGGGAAAGGAGGAGAAGGCCCAGGACAGAGACCTAGAAGCTCTTAGAGTCATGTCCAGCAGCCAGACTGAGGAGGAGCAATGAGAGAGGTAGGAGGCCAACAAAGAGAGGGTAAGGTCACCAAATCCTGTCGAGGAGAGAATGCCAGAGGACGAGGCCAGGGAGGGTGAGAGGAGGCCGTCGGATGGGCCCCTTAGCCAGAGCCAGGGGCCATCTAGCTCAGTCCTTTCATTTTACACAGGAAGAGACTGAGTCCCACAGAGGATAAGGGAAGTGCCCAGAGTTACAATAGGTGGCAGGTAGCTGGTGAGGACACCTCTTCAACACAGTGACATAGAAGTGGGGGGGGGGAGTTCAGGAGGAAAACCATTATCCTGTAGAATAGGGAACCTCAGAGCTGGGAGGGACCTTAGAGGTACTCTAGGCCAAAAGCCCTGCACTGGCTTGCTCCCCTCTGCCTTCCCCTCAGGGCTTAACACGCAGCTTTTCTTGAGGACAAGGAGGTGTTCAGTGACTATTTTCCTCAGTGGATCAAAGGTGTGTTTGTGCCCCCAAAGCTGGGACAGCACCTTGAAGTCAGCCTTGTTCCCCACTGCCTGTGTCCCCAGTCCGGGGAGGGGGCAAGGGGAAGCTGGCCTAGGAGAGCCTGCAGTGCCCTTCCCCCCACCTTACCTTACCATCACCCGGGGAAAGGAGAGCAGTCAGTGGCTCTTCTACATAGGATGCGCTCAGTAAATATTTGTTGAATGAAAAGTCAAATTGGCTGGAAATATTTAAGCGCTGGACAAGGGCCCAGAATGCTGAATCCTGAGCCCCGGCCGCAGAGCAGGCTCCCTACTGGAACAGGCCACTCTGTCAGGATGGACATGGGCTGTGTCACACTACGCTCTGGGCCTCAGTTTCCTCATATGCCAACTCTCACCCTCGACGACCCTAAGGGACCCTGTATGCTTTGGAAAGAAGCTTGTGAGCAATCCAAGAGAAGGGGCTGCCAGGTGCCCGCTTCCCCCTTCTCAGCTTTGGGGTTCAGCCATGCTGGCCACTGAAGGGCTGGTGGCGGGAGGGAGGCTCTGCTCACTGCTCTCCCTTCACTAAATCCCAGAGTGGAGGGAAGCCTACCGGGGTAATACCTCCTTTTCCCCAAAGTGGCCCAGGATAGGGTACCTGTCCCTAGCCCCTGGAAATCCCAAAGGAAAGCTGAGGCCTCCCTTTTCCTGAAGCTCAGGGGAGACTGTGGGTCCTAGGGCTGGTTTCTGCCCCTCCCCACCCCCATAGGCATCTCATTCTTGGACAGCCTCAGGGAAGCTGAGTTACAGCATTATAGGTGAAAGCTGGAGGGGATAGAGGGGTCATCTAGTTCAAACCTCTAGGTTTGCAGATGGGGAAACTGAGGCTCAGGAAGCAGGACTTGCCCAGGGTTCAGAGGTTCAGATAATGAAAGAGCTGAGATTTGAATTAGGGGCCTGGACTCTCAATGTTACACTCTTTCCAATAGCCCAGGAAAGGTACAGGGAACCCGATAAAGAACTCTGGACTAGAGGGGAAGATGGGGTTCTTTAGGCAGCGGCACTCTCGCTGATCTCCGCCCCTCTGAGGCCAAAGTGTCCCTCCCAGACACGGGGCTGGGAGAGATTTCTAGGGTCTTCATTTCTGCCAGCCTGGCCTAGGCTGGAGAAGGAGGATGGAGAGAGGGATAATGGAGTGGGGGGATGCCAGCTTCGCCCCCCCACCCCGCGGTGGAAGGTGGGAGGGGTTGGGGAAAGGGGGAAGGGAGCGTGGGCTCTCGCCCCAACCTGAGGCGGCTCGGGCGCGGGCTCGGGGCCAACCGCGGGTCCCCAGGAGGTGAGTGAGCCCTGGGGGGGCCCGGCCCGCCTGGCCGCCTCCTCCTCGCCGGCCTCCGGGATCCTAAACCCCTGCCCCTCCCCCCACGGCTCTGTCTGCCCGGCCGGCGGGCTTTCTGACTATCTGACCGTCTGTCTGTCTGCCCGCCCGCCCGTCTGCCTGCCTGCCTGCCTGCCTGCTTGGCTGGCTTTTTTTTTTCTTTTTCCGCAGCCGCGTTTCCTCTCCCCCCCATCTTACTCCTTCCTCCTCCCTTTTCCCTTCTCCCTCTCCCCCTTCTTTCTTCCTCCTCCTCCTCCTCCTTCCTCCCTCCCTCTCCCCTTCCCCCTTCTCTCTCCTTTCCCCCCACCCCCAGTCTGGAGGAGGTGCTGCGGGTCCGATCTCTTGGTCCCGGCGTCCCTCCCTCCCCGGTCAGCCGCACTGCCGGGGGAGGGGGGGCGCGGCTGGGGAGCTGGGATCTCCCGACCGCAGGGCTGGAGGGCAGGCGGCCGAACCGGGAAGGCATCCCCTTGGGGTTCTACCTCTCCTTTGGAGTGGCCCAGAGCTGCCGGCGTGGCGGGGGGGGACGAATTGGAGTCTGCACCACGTCTGGGGGGACCAGGGTGGGGGCCTGAGGGGGCAGAGTGTGCGGGGGAGCAGGAGATGGAGAGAGAGGGAGAGACTGAGGGGGTGAGAGAATGGGAGAAATACACAGAGAAGGAGGGACAAGAGAGACACACGCGTGCACACGCACACACACACACACACACACACACACACACACACACACACACAGACAAGCAGAGAGACCGAGCGAGAGCAGCTTTCTAAAGGGAAGTCAGTCCACTATCCCACGGGCTGGCTACCTCTGACCTTTTCCGCAAAGAGGCAGCTGCAGGAGAGACGGACGAGAGCCCTCCTCCTCCTCTCCTCCTCCTCCTCCTCGTCCTCCTCCTCCTCCGTCCTCCCTCCTCCCCCTCCTTCCCATCTTCTTCTCTCCCTCTCCCCTTTTTTCCTCCCCCTTCTTCCCCCTCCTCCTCCCTCCTCCTTCCCCTTTATCTCCTGCCACCCCCTCCCTCCTGTCCTTCCTCCCTCCCTCCTCCCCCGTCCCCAAAGCGCCTGCATCCATCCCCTCTCCGCTCCAGACTTGTGCCTCTTTCCCTGCCCTGTCTGATGCTCCGGGTGCTGGGGGCGTGCCAGTGGATGGGGGTCTCAAGGTAGGCTGACTTCTCTGAATGAATGAGTGTGCGTCTGTGCAGTGTTCGGTGTGTGCATGCGGGTGCGTAAAGGAGAGAGCAGGGGCTAAGGGTCCTGTCTCCTTTTCAGTTTTTTCTAAATCGGTACCTGACTGGCAGTGCCCGTGGTTGCCCAGGTCAGAAAGGACTCTTCTTTACTTTGCCAGCAAAGTTACTTTTCTTTTTCCAGAGTTCTTAAGACCTCTCACTCCTCCCACCTTATTTCCTCTGGGCTGAGCCAGTGGTCGTGTGGTGTGTGTGTGTGTGTGTGTGTGTGTGTGTGTGTGTGTTTGGGGGGCAGGGATGCCCCTCAGCATCTGCTCCTGCGTTATCCTCTTTGGGGACTGGACATTAGTGCCCAGGGCACTTCGGGGTCTAGTAGCTGGCTTCCAGTGATCTGGAAAACTTTTCCCTTCTCCCAGGAGATCTCTAGAATTCATGCATCTTGAGGACTGGCTTTGGGGCTCATGAATCCCAAGCAAGCTTTAATCATTCAGACAAATAGAACATAGATTTTATTTCCATTCTGACCCTGGTAGTCATGACGGGAACACTGTCCGGTGGCAGCCCTGCTGTGTGTCTGTTAAATCTTGTGGTGGGGTCAAGGGGTCCCCATGCCCTAAGGATACTGAAGCTGCTTCCACATTCGCTCTGCCCAGCAGTAGTGCCTCAGAGCTGAGAAGGCCAGAAAAGGGGAGCCCCAGCCCTGGAGCCTCAGCCTCTGCCCAGTGGGATTTTGGTGGGGTGGATGCCTTCTGCTGCCACTTGGCTGGGCTCCTCCTCTGCCCATTTCTAAGGCCCCTTCTTAATTGCTCCAAGCCCCAGCTTAAGTTGTAAACAATTATGAAATTAAGCCAGACGAGGACAGAAGAAACAAATAGACTGGAGTGAATGAGCTGCACTGGGCACAGGCAGCTTGAAGAGCTGAATAGGGGTGCAAGCCTCGTTAGGAGGGGTCTGCTGGGGCCCAAGGGGTGATGCTGCTGCCAAGGCTGACCCTTGGCAGCTCTGCCGGGGGGCTGGGAGTCCACAAAATAAAAGAAACCCGAACAAGTGTGGTGAGGAAGCATCCCGAGGCCTAGCTTGTCTGATAAACTGGTCACTTGCCCCCTGGACAGAAACTTTGCAAAGTGGTAGTGGAGCTATGAAGGCAAAGGAATGGCAGTGGAAAACAGGAGAGATTCCCGGGAGAAGGGATTTTGAGGAGCAGGCTTTGGGCCATTGTGTGACAGATCGGGTTTTTTGAAAGATGGTAACAAGGAGCTATTATATAGAACAGCAGTCTTGGAGGGAGGGCTATGGAGGACGGTCCATGCCTTGTAAATTGTGCTTCATGACGCCCGACTCCCTGCAAATGGGCTTCAAATGCAGCAGCCACACACCGCTTGGAAAGTCCTCTCCCAGAGCCAATTCTGGGGAAACTGCTCCATTTAGGAGAGGCACTGGTCATTGGCCATGCATTCATCGCCTGATGTCTATTTGCAAAGCGAAGGATGATTCAGCGTCAGTTTGCTGGGCTGACTGATGGGTCTGTCAGAGGTTGGCTCTTCTTCTCTGGCTTTCCTTCATTGTCGCCAAGAATTTCCCAGGACCTGGATGGAATGGCCACTTTGGGTTGGGGGTCTGCTCACCATTCCACATGCCTGCTGGTGGTGTGCAACGTGGTCCTGGGGCAAAAGAGCTGCGTTTGGAGCTGGAGGAGCTGAATTCAGATTCCAATCTGCCCATTTACTCCCTGGGTGACCTTAGTCAAGGTGTCCTTCCTCTGTAGGCCTCGGTCCCCTCCTCTGTAAAATGAGAGGGGTGTTTGAACCCAGTGACCTTTAAAGTCCCTTCCAGGCATAAAATCTGTGACCCGGGCATGCACGTACGTGAGTGGCAAAAGCATGGAACCATCCACTTTGTCTGAAGCCACAGACACACCAACCTCTAAAGGTCAGGCATGTTTCTGGAAGGACTTACACACGGCGATACAAGTTTGTAGACGTGTACTCCATCAACCACAGTGTCTGAATCTCCACCAAGCCATTACAGGTTACATCCATGGGCTTGTGACAGAATTGAAACTGTTTAGGGTTTACAGTGCTTTGCCTAGAGGGTGGATGGTAAAAGAATGCCAGTTTTAAAATTTCCTCTAATTTCCACAAGAGATAGCTGCCTTCCTCACTTGAGGAAATGATTTACTGCATTCTGAACTTGATGCGCCATTGCCAGAAACCACAGCCTAGTGTAGAAAGTGCCGGCTTCTCCTGGGCTCTCTCTGGGCAGGCATAGTCACATTCTCCCTGCTTCTGCTGAGGAGCCCCGTGGAAGGGCATTCTTGGTGGCAACAACCTGGATTTTGGTAAAGCAGAGCAGGGATTCTCTCTTTGCAAAAGCCACTAGAAAGCCCAGTTTCTTTTAATCTCTCCCAATGATTTCAGGTTCCTGATTTCAGAAAAGTGAAATGATCACTAGAACAAGCAAAGAAAATTAATCAGTTAACAGACCCAGATCATCAAAGTGAATATTCTGAACAAAAAAATCCTAGGCAATTAGCGTGTCTGGGGGTGAAGCTTTCCAACTCTGGGTAGAGATCTTTAAAGGGTGAGATTTCAGCTTTACGCTCAGATTGTCCCTGGCTTGTTCCAATGACAATGTGACATTTTCCACCCTGCAGTCGGGGCAGCCAGTAGGTGGGCACCAGGAGAGCGAGTCTACTAATTAGAGCACCAGATAGGCACTTTCTCTTGGGTTCAAGCCAGGCATAAATGTGCCGTCCCCTCCCTATTCTGGCCTCTGACTCTGGGAATGGAGTGAGTGGGTAGTTAATTTGATCAATGTGTGAATTGTCAAGTTGGTTAGAAGAGGCCAGATCCAGTCTCAGAGTCCATTATCAGAGGCTATTAAACATCACCTTATTTTGACTTTTATCAACATGACAAAGCTCAGTCATGTTAAAGTCATTTCTACAAATCATAGCATTGTGGAATGTTGGGGTTGGGAGGGACCTTAGAACAGAGGACAGTGACATGGAGGATCCTTAGAAAATGAGATTTCAGACCAAGGAAGAAACCTTCAAACATGGAATATCTAATCTGAGAGGGACTTCAGAAAAGAGCATGTCAGAGCTAGAATGTTCGACTTAGGACAGATTGAGCTGGAAGGAGCTTTAGACATCATGTAGTCTATTTCTTTCATTTTACAGAGAAGGAAACTGAGACTGAGAGGGATGGGGTACTTAGGGAGCCAAGCTTAGCATGTGGCAGTGTTGGGCCTGGAACCCAGGTGTCTCTGCTCCCTCTCCTAGAGCCCTTTCCACCTTACTTTATAGCTTCTCAGGCCAATTTATAAAACAGCTTAAAAAGAAAAAAAAGGTAACTTTTGCCTCTCTGCTTTGACCCCTAAGAAATAGACTTGCTTACTGGGCTCCGGATGGGAGTAGGGGAGCCTTTTTTTGAATGATTCCCTTATGAGACGTTTCCTGGGGGTTGAACCGAGCATGCCATCCGTCCAAGGTAGAAGTAGAAACAATGAAAGCTCCCCCAGAAGAACACAGCACAGGGTTGGCACTGGCTCCAAAGTCAGAAATGCAGCCGGTCCCCCTGCTGCTGACCGAATCTTCAAGTTCCCTTACCCAGGGGATCCCCTGGGGGCCTTATCTTTGGTGGTGTAGGGGTGCTTATGGGGGCCGCTGAAGTGTCAGCAATACCCCAGTTAATTCCATCATTTTGTAGACATTTTTGTCGGCCCTGGAAATTCCAAACAGGCAGGCCTCCTCCTCTCCACCTAATTCCTTGGCGTGTTCAAAGGGTGTTGCTGACTGTAGACAGTAAAATATATTGGCTGAAATACCTGAGAGTGGAGCTCTTTGCTCCTTTCTTCTCCCAAAGGAGGGTCTTGTGCATGAGGATGAGGAAAGAGCCCCCTTGGAGGCCTGCCTGCCTGCCTGCCCAGTTATTGAACTGGGAACACAGTCTGCCACATGGGCACAGGAGTGGATCAAACACATTTTGATGGCTTAAGTGTTCATTTCCGTCTCTTTTTCTTTTTTGGAAAAGGGCTGGAATGGCACTGTGGAAGTAGCCAAAGGCCAGCCTCCAACTTGAGTGCCGGAGCTGCCCAGCGCTCGAGCCATCCCACCTTGGTGACAGCTGCGGATCCCATTTTCATGAGATCTGGGGCTTCTCAATGACTTTCCCTGGTTCGTATTTTGCTTTTAATGCAACACATCTGTGGGGAAATGTTTATACTTAGAGACATTTTTTCCCCTACAAGATATTAAAAATTAAAATGTTACATACAGATAATTACTTTTCACCTGGGTTTTTTCTTTTTATTTTTTTGCTACGGAAAATACAATTATCTCTAATAAGTGATGTCAAACTCAGCTGCTCCAAAGCATTCATGATCTCTGCCCACCCCCTACCTCCTTTATCCCAGTTTTGTGCTAGTCCCCCCCAGAACACCCCAGAGAAGCCCCTCTATTCTGGGTTCCAGCATTCTACTTCAAGCCCCAAAGGAGCCCTTAGCCAATGAATTTTTGACAAACTGGAATACACAATACCCAACGGCCTATATGATCTGCTCTGAGTATGCTCCAAACTCCCACCAATGTGGCTTGTGATTTGCCTCACACATGCAAAGAGAGATGTATACTCCTTTTTATGCATCTCCCTAATATCTCCATGTGTGCACATGCACAAGTATGTGTTTTAATGTGTCTAAGCCCACTAAACACACCCACAACTCATTCTGGAGAGGAGTGGAGTGCGAATGCCTTATTTTAACAAAAAACAGGCTGCGGTCTATAGCTGAGGACAAACCATGCATTCAGCATCATTTGTGTAATAGACTCTATGCCAGGCGAATCAGGATGCACCCAGGATAACAACAATTTATGGCTCACAGCCTCTCCACTCTGGAACACCCGTACTTTTATGTAACTTTCTTATCAAATGACTGAGGACATGGAAAGTGCTTTATAAGCCTCAAATGCTACA